TTCAAGCTGCTAAAACAGAACCAAAGAATGTAACATTCATGAGAAGAAATTGGAAACAAACAATAGTTTCAAATCATATCAACCAAAGGTTTAATAGGATGAAGGCTATGAACAAAGGTTAGATTTTTAAATATCAGAAAGCTCATATTGGTTCATTTTTTTTATTATGATGAAGACAGGAAAGTCTTTATGTCATAAATATTTCACCCTTTAAAACCAAGAAAACTAACCAGAATCCATGCTAAGGAGTAGAATCAGGGTAAGTAAATAGATTGACACACAAAAAGTGTTGATAACTATCAAGCTATATATACGGAGAACAAAACTTAGGACTGTGTTACAATACTAGTTGAAGATTCTGAATACAGCTTTGTTATCAAAAGTCCATGTGTGTATGAACATTATCAAAAAGTTATTTGGTAAATCAGGGTCCATCAGCATTCTGTAATCAGGGAATAGAGATGAATTCCTATTCTTTTCCTCATGAAATTATATATTTCTTACAAAATTTCAGTAAAGAAAACATCATAGAAATCATGTTCAATTCTAAAAAAGATATCTCCAAAACACAATGTATTTATCTCAAATTATTTATGAGTCCTCCAGTGACTGCACAATTTTAAACACACCGTGAATGTGTAATATGTCAGTTTGAATCATATAGTTGCATATGTGGAGTAACAATCTTGGTACTTAGAGGCCATTCATGGGGTAAAAGCATCACTGGGTTAGACTGGAACTCAGTATGTGTAAGAGTTGCCTTTAGACAGTCTCTATTGAGCTAGGAACTTTCATGCCTACACACTTTTCACAAGTAGAAATGTACTCAGAAATATCTATTGCAGTTTCACTGCCCCAAGTTTGCCTTGATGATTGCTTTGTTGACTGCCTCTGTCACATCTTTGTTTCTCAAACTTTAGATCATAGGATTCAGCATGGGAATCACTGTGGTATAAAACACAGCTACCATTTCCCCCTGCTCCACAGACTCTTCAGGGGGCCTCCTGAAATGCATAAATATGAGAGTCCCATAAAACATGGTAACAGCCATCAAGTGGGACCCACAGGTGGAGAACGCCTTCTTCCTCCCATCAGCAGAGTGCATGCGTAGCATGGCTATTTCTATGAGGATATAGGAGATGAGGACCACTGAAAGGTAATACGTGAAGTTCATCCCAGCAACAACTATCATGGTGTATTCTTTGATGTGGACCCCACCACAGGCAATCTTGATGAGAGGAGGGTCAGCACAATAGAAGTGGTTGTTTTCAAAATTTCCACAGAAGTACAAGCCATATGTCCACAGGGTGCATATCAGGCTAACAGAGAATCTGTAGACATAAGGCACAGAGATGAGCCAAATACAGACTGTCCTGGACATTTTACTGCCATAAAGCAGAGGGTTGCAGATGGCCATGTAGCAATCAAAGGCCATCACAGCCAAGATATATACCTCCACATGGACAAGGGCAATCAAAAAGTAACATTGCACCAGACACCCCATGTAGGAGATGGTTTTTGTCTCTGATAATAAATTTTCCAGCATTTTGGGAGTAACATTGGAAGAGAACCACACATCCACAAAAGACAGATGACTTAAGAAAAAATATATAGGGGTCTGAAGCTGGGGACTGATGCTGATCAAAATAATCATACCAATGTTCCCTAACAGCATGATCATGTAAACTACAAGGAACACCCCAAAAAGGAGAACTTGAAGCTCCTGATGACTGATCAACCCCAGAAGAATAAACTCTGTCACATCTGTGAAATTTGGCATTGCCTTCATGGAGACCCAGGCTGTACTGTCTGTGGGAGAAAGAAAAAAAAATGGATTTGTTTTATTCTTGGAAGTCTTGAGTCACGTGTATCTGTATTCTAATTCAAATAATTGAACAATTAATGTATATTTCACACAGTGTCCAACAAAAGAATATCTAGGTACAATTATTTCCTTTAGTAGGTCTTATAGGTAATGACCATCAATATTTATATCAGTTTCTTAGTCCTAAAATAGACAATTGCATTCATGTGTTACTAGAACTATATATTTATATTTTGTAAATAATTTCCATAATGTTAACATCCCAGGGCTCAGATAAGACTAAAGCCAGACTGAGAGTTGTCAGAGAATGACTGAATCCATTCCAATATAT